TTGTTGGTAGACAACACAGTTGGCACCAGTGCACAGCTCCATGAGGTATATGAGATAAAATAAACACAAACCCTTTCTTTTCACCTTCCTTCTTGGGTGCTCAAGAAACGGAGTTTAGTTCAAAACACACAAATACCACTCTTCAGGTGTCATGTAAAAAAGTTGATCTACTCATGTCAAACAGGAGAGAGAATTTCCCATCCTCCTCTGAATAACCTTTCTTTTAACCTCAAAAAGAAGTCTAACCTTGGATCCACTGTTTATCCTTTTCAGTTAACACAAACATGAATGTTTAAGTTTAAAAAACTTTTTCTCATATACTTGAAAAAACTTATTCATATCATTGGTTTATTTCCACAATGTTTCAAACACAGTAAGAATTTCCAAATAATTTTCTAGTGAAACACTGACAATTTCCAGCTATGTTATGTACTGGGAGCCCAGTTATATTTTAGCACAGCGGCAGAAATAATCTCGATTGGTTAGGAGTTACAACCTTATTAAGATGCAATCTGTTCCCACAATTAGTATTTAAAAACATTTATTTCACCTTAACAGTAAGTGATTATACACAGTGATTACACAAATTATTTTCTAAGTGGATTTTTTAAACAGTAGACAATTGGGGAAATAACTGAAAAGGTTTCTTCTGGTAAACAAGTGACTCAAAAGTTCACAGAAATCGTTAGTTTGTACCTAAAATCTCTTTTCATAGAAGCAAAGTGAGTGTTGGTTTTCAGTGTTCATTAAGAGTCTCACAGAGATGGTTTAAACACATAATGAAGCTGAATTATATTGCCTATACTACTTACTACCCTGCCCACTCATAAAATGGGTTCTGTTCTAATATTCATTGCTGATCAGCAGGGGCCATGCCAAGTACAGTGGGGAGTTTCAACTCTCCAGTGGAAAAGGTGACCTCTGGTAACAGGAACAACATAGGAGCTCAGCACGTGTCTTCAGCACAATAAGGAGGGCACTCTGGCACAAAATGGGGCTCCTGTTTTCAGTAAAAGGATGCTCCTATACCCATCTCCATTTTGAAGCATTGTCAAAATCTGTGGTGGACCCTACAAGCCTACAGAGTCATAGAATGCAACACATAAAATTTAATTGGATGATGATGAAACAGATGGAAGAATATCTTTAAATCACTAATTGAACAATTGGGTCATTAACAATCAGATCAAATTGTATCAGAGACAAGACTGTGAAGTTAAAGTCTGTTCTAAGGGGAATGAGCTATAAAACTAATTTTGTGCAAGATATTTAGAAGGCTATATTATGACACTGCTAAGTAAGAAGCCCACCACTCATCTGTTGTACTGTGGTTGCTTGCAAGTTGTTGTGACTCTGCAAGCTATGCCACAGGTATTTTAAATACCAGCAGGGTCACCCATGGTGAACAGGTTTCAGATGAACTTCCAGACGAAGACAGACTAGGAAGAAGGAGTGACAAACTACTTCTGAATATTTAGTCACTGAAATATTCAAATATAGCAGAGACACACTGTCAGATATAGTGCTGGAAAATGAGTCCCTCAGCTTGGAAGGAACTCAAAATGTGGCTGGGGAAGAGCTGCCTCCTCAAAGTACAGTTGACCGTGATGACGCGAATGGAGTAAAGCCTGTGGGAGTAAAGTCTGCGGGACCTTCATTTGCTGATGGGCACAATTCAAAATGAAGAGAAACAGCTGTAAACATCCATTAATAATCGGAACATGCAATGTACGAAGTATGACTCTAGGTAAATTGGAAATTGTCAAAAATGAAATGGAACACATCAACATCGATATCTTAGGCATTAGTGAGCTGAAATGGACTGGTATTGGCCATTTTGAATCTGACAACCACATGGTTTACTATTCCGGGAATAACAAATTGAAGAGGAATGGTGTTGCATTCATTGTCAAAAAGAACACATCCAGATCAGTCATGAGGTACAACGCTGTCTGTGATAGGATAATATCCATACGCCTACAGGGAAGCCCAGTTAATACCACTATTATTCAAATTTATGTACCAACCACTAAAGCCAGTAAGGATGAAACAGAAGAATTCTACCAACTTCTTCAATCTGAAATTGATGAAACATGCAATCAAGATGTATCGATCAATACTGGTGATTGGAATGCAAAGGTTGGGAACAAAGAGGAAGGATCAGTAATTGCAAAATAGGGCCTTGGTGATAGAAATGATGCTGGAGATTGCATGATAGAATTCTGTAAAACCAATGATTTGTTCATTTCAAATACCTTCTTTAGACAGCATAAGAGATGATTATTCACATGGATCTCACCAGATGGAATACATAGCAAACAGACTGACTACATCTGTGGATAGAGATGATGGAAAAGCTCCATATCATCAGGCAAAACAAGGCCAGGGGCAGACTGTGGAACAGACCATCAATTGCTCATATGCAAATTCAAACTGAAGCTGAGAAAATGAAAACAAGTCCACGAGAGCGAATATATGACTTTAAATATATCCCACCTGAATTCAGAGATCATCTGAAGAACAGATTTGATACATTAAACACTAAAGACCAAAGACCAGAAGAGTTGTGGGATGACATCAAGAACACCATACAGGAAGAAAGCAAAAGTCATTAAGACAAGCAAGAAGAAAAAAATAAAAATGGATGTCAGAAGAGACACTAAAACTTGCTCTCCAGTGTAGAGATGCTAAGGCAAATGGGTGAAACAAGGAGGTACAAGAGCTGAACAGAAAATTTCAAAGGTTAGCTCAAAGAAGCCAAAGTCAAATATTATAACAAAATGTGCAAAGATCTGGAGTCAGAAAGTGAAAAGGGAAAAACACGCTCAGCATTTCTCAAACTGGGGGAAGTAAAGAAAAAAATTCAATCCTCAAATTTCATTACTGATGGATTCTCTGGGAAAATTACTGAATGATGCAGAAGGCATCAAAAGAAGATGGAAGGATTACACAGGATTACTTTACCAAAAGGAAATGGTTGATGTTCAATCATTTCAAGAGGTAGCATATGATCAAGAGCCAATGATACAGAAGGAGGAAGTCCAACGTGCATTGAAGGAATTGGCAAAGAACAAGGCTCCAGGAACTGATGGAATAAAAATGGAAATCTTTCAACAAAGTGAGGTGGCACTGGAAGCACTCACTAATCTATGCCAAGAAATTTGGAAGACAATTATCTGGCCAACTGACTGGAAAAGATCCATATTTGTGCCCATTCCAAAGAGAGGTGATGCAATGGAAATCATCAGACAATCTCTTTGATATCCCATGTGAGTAAAGTTTTACTAAAGGTAATACAGAAACGGCTGCAAGCATACATTGACAGAGAACTTCCAGAGGTTCAAGCCAGATTCAGAAGAGGACGTGAAATGAGGGATATCATTTCTGATGTCCGATGGACCTTGGCTGAAAGCAGAGGATACCAGAAAGATGTTTACATTTGCTTTATTAACTATGCAAAGGCATTTGATTGTGTGGATCATGACAAGCTATGGACAACACTGCAAAGTATGAGTATTCCAGAACACTTAATTGTGCTCATGAGGAATCTCTACATGGACCAAGAGGCCATTGTTCGAACAGAACATGGGAACACTGAATGGTTTAAAATTAAGAAAGGTGTGAGACAGGGGTGTATTCTTTCACCGTACTTATTCAATCTGTATGCTGAACAAATAATCTGAGAAGCTGGGTTATATGAAAGAAAACGTGGCATCAAGACTGGAGGAAGACTCATTAACAACCTGTGATATGCAGATGATACCAACCTTGCTTGCTGAAAGTGAAGAAAACTTAAAATATTTACTGATGGAGATCAAAGAGCACAGCCTTTGGTATGGATTGCATCTCAATGTAAAGAAAACAAAAATCCTCACCACTGGACCAATAAATAACATTCTTATCAACGGAGAAAAGATTTAAGTTGTCAAGTACTTCATTTTTTTTGGATCAACTATCAACACTCACGGAAGCAGCAGTTAAGAAATCAAATGACATATTGCATTAAGCAAATCTACTGCACAAGATCTTTTGAAAGTGTTGAAGAGCAAAGATGTCAGCTTGAAGACTAAGGTGTGCCTGACCCAAGCCATGGTATTTTAAATAACCTCATATGCATGCAAAAGCTGGACAGTGACTATGGAAGACCATAGAAGAATTGATGCTTTTGAGTTCTGGTGTTGAAGGAGAATATTGAAAGTGTCATGGTCTGCCAAAAGAACAAACAGATCTTTGTTGGAAGAAGTGCAGCCAGAGTGCTCCTTGGAGGCCAGGATGGCCAAAGTTCGTCTCTTTCATACTTTGCACATATTTCAGGAGGGACCAGTCTCTGGAGAAGGATATCATGTCTGGTAAGGTGGAGGGTCAGAGAAAAAGAGGAAGACCCCCAGTGAGATGGATTGGCAAAGTGGCAGCATCAATGGGCTCAAGTATGGCAACAATTGTGAGGTTGGCCCAGGACTGGGCAGTGTTTCATTATGCTGTGCATAGGGTCGCTATGAGTCGGTACCAACTCAATGGCACCTAACAAGAAGAAGAAGGAGCCGTGGTGGCACTAAGGGATGGGTGTTGGGCTGTTGACCATAAGGTTGGTAGTTCAAAACCACCAGTGGAGTGGCTCCATGGGAGAATCATAAGGCTATCTGCTTCCATACAGATTTAGTCTTAGAAACCCTATACATGGTCCCAAGAGTTGGAATCAACTCAATGGCAGTGGGTTTGGTTTCAGACTAATGTAGTAAAATATATTTTTTGGTTTGAAAATGTATTAAAACCAAGGTGCTCTGGTAGCATAGTGGATTACGAGCTGAGCTGCTAACCACAAGGTGAGCAGTTCGAATCTACCAGCCTCTCCATGGGAGAAAGATGAGGCTTTCTGCTCCTGTAAGAATTTACAGCCTTGAAAACCCTATATAGATTTGCTATGAGTCGGAACCAACTCCACAGCACATAACCTCCACTACCTATTTCATCCTCCTAGATCAGAAATACCAGGTATTTACCTTGGCCTTCCTGAGGAGGTGGTCCGGTGTTTACTATTTCCTACAAATTCGGGAGGCTCTCCATGGAGAAGAGCAACTGCTCTATGTCTTCCTGGGTCTTTCCTAGGGTTATGATCTTGGTTTGATAAACTTGCAGTTTCCAAACGTTCCTGTGAAAAGAAAAGTGAAACCTACCTTAGATATAATCCATAGATGAAAGATAATCATGGTATGTAATTATAAATTCAGTGTAGACTGCAAATTCTATTTAAACGGAATGCTTATAAATGTAATTGATGTCAATTCTTGAAAATGGAACATTAACATATTTACTGGTTCAGGAATCACAGTCTGAAGTTCAGGTTATAGTTTCAAGAAAATGTGACTATTCTAAGTAAAAAAAAGATAAGAATTGTGGAATATGAGTGAAAGTTAGAAAAGCAAGAGAAATGAGGAGAGGGAGGGGGCCCTCTCAGGGAGTGTGAGGAGTGGCTGATGGACGACAGATCAGATGGGAGACAGAAGAGCTGGTGGAAACAGTCACATCATCTTACATTTGTACAAGACTTTGTACAAATTAATGAACACATGGTGTCCATTAATTCACTGGAGAAATGGCAGGAGCCGGAAAGGATGGCATCAGCTGTCCCATTTCAAAGGATGAGGAAAATGTCGAAGGTGTCACATGTACAGCTCACAGAGCTACAGTGGAAAAGCCACAAACTAAGCCAGTTCTGCTTATATCAGTGGGCTTCCTCCGGTTCCTCTTTGTTGTTCTTGTAAAGTGCCGTCGACTCAGTTCCAACTCATAGTCACCCGGATAGGGTTTCTAAGGTGCAGCTGTTGAGTTTGAACTGCCGACCTTGTGGTTTATTGTCCCATGCTGATCCTACAGCACCACACCAGGAGTCTGCTATCCTTAGGTATGAACAAACAGTGCTATTTTCCAAGTATTAAAGTGATCAATGCTTCACCCTCTTATCTAGTCTTTCGACTTTGACTCATTTGATAAACTACTGTAGCTACACAAACCTAAGCAGTCTACAGATATTAGATAACTTAAACTTTGCTACCTCTAATAGGTACCTCTAATTTGCTACCTCTAATTTTCCCTAATGGAAAATTCTCAACATTTTTGTATTTTAGTGTTTCATTGCAAGTTTTACTATGAATAGCAACATGAAGGGGGAATATTATCAATGGTAATGAAAATATTTGATTTTTAATAAAATATACACAATTTTAGTATACATTGTTATAAGTAAGGATAGAATACCTGCTTAGCCATTTCTTTTCTTTTTTTCTCTTCTTTGATCTCCTCTTCCCTTCTCAGAATTTCATGAAGGATTTCACGTTGCTGAAACAAATCATACCACCATCATATGCCAATCTCTGAAACCCACAACCATTCTACCTCATAGTGTTCCTATCGGATTGAGTACAACTGTCCCTGAGACTTTAATCTTTACAAAAGCAGAGCGGTTGGTGGGTCCAAACCATTGACTATTCAGTTATCAGCTGAGCGATTAACCACTGTGCCAACAGCTCCTTCTGAAAAAAACCCATACTGTTGACTTGCTTAGTGCTGTTGAGTCAGTTCAGATTCATAGTGGCCCTGTGTAGCGTTCCTGAGAAGGGGTCAGTGGGTTTGAATCATGAACCTTGTGGTTGTTATTAAGTGCTGTTGAGTTGGTTCTGACTCATAGAGGCCCTGTATAGGGTTTCCGTGGAGTGACTAGTGGGTTTGAACTGCCAATCATGCAGTCTAGTGCTTATGCTACAGCACCATACCCTTGTGGTTACAGCATTTAAATTCTGGAAAATTTTGTGAATTTCAATAATACAAGCCCTCCTTTCTGAAAAGACCTGAATACCTAGAACCTTGTACAAACTGAAGCAGATTGATTTTTCCAGAATTCTGATGCAGTCGGCAGTCCCACTTGCATGGGGTGGAAGATCACTGAGGTATGTTGAGTATCCATGTGGAGGGACTCTGGCTCCAGCCACACTGCTGGCCTCACTTTTCCCATGCTTATTAGGAAAGCCCCTCCTAGTTCCTGCCTGTCTACAGGGAACACACACTTGCATCTAGGTTCTGTCATGGCGTCAGGGGCTGACTCAGTGGAGGACTATCACAGGCACCATGGCCACCTACAACAGCCCTTAAACTACATTCTCCAATCAGATTTCTCAGCACGAAAAGTAGTCATTTGATCTCTATTCATTTGATTTAGATATCTATTGCTCAGTTGGTTCTAAATTTAGGTAGGAAAAAACAGTTTTATTTTGTTGTTGGTAAGTGCCAACTCATAGTGACCCTGTATAGAGTTTCTGTGGAGCGGATTGTTACTGTTATTAAGTGCTGGTGAGTTGGTTCTGACTCATAGCAATCCTGTATAGGGTTTCCAAGGACTAGCTAGTGGGTTTGAACCTCCGACCTTGTGATTCACAGTCCAGTGCTCATCCTACACGAGTCCTATTAAGAGCCTCACCAAAAATAAACAGCAAGGATGCACAAAGTAAAAACATACCTCAAATTTAAAGACAGAGTACTGGTGTGGCAATGTAGGATAAGAACTAAACTACTAACTACAAGGTCGGTGGCTCAAACCTACTAGTTGCTCCTTGGAAACCCTACACAGGGTCACTAAGAGCCGGAACCCACTCCGTAACACTTAACAATAAATAACAGTATATCAAAACAAGACTGTTAGCTAAATATTCACTACCTTCCAATAATGTGTCTTCCTATAAACAATGAAAGGAGCTCTGGTAGCGTAGTGGTTATGAATCGGGTTGTGAACCACAAGGTCAGCAGTTCGAAACTACCAGCTGTTCCACGGGAGAAAGATGAGGCTTTCTGCTCCCATAAAGATTTACAGCCTTGGAAACCCTGTACAGGGTTGCTATGAGTCAGAACCGACTCCACGGCACATAACAACAACAACATAAACAATGAGGACAATACACGACAATACACTCTGAAGGATAAGTGGCCTACTCAATTAATTAGGAGATGTTGTTAATTGCCTTTGAGTCAATTCTGACTCACAGTAACCCTATGTAGGGTTTCCAAGGAGCAGTTGGTGGGTTGGAACCCCCAATCTTGTGGTTAGCAGTCCAGTGCTGATCCTACAGTGCCACACCAGGACTCTAATTAGCGACTGGCAGTACAAATTGGATGGGGCTCCTGTTACTCTTTTGGGCAGGAGATAAGTTGTCTCACATGGATGAGAAGAAAAGAACCTCCATCATTCAGTGAAATTCTGTACAGCTTTACAAGCTCAGAAAGACTAGAGGAAGCTTGTTAAACTCCTTCCTTTTAAAAAAAAATAAAAAAAAAAATGACTTGGACTAAGGGCTCTAAGGAGCCGCACAGATGACTGTTGAGAGGGAGCACTCATAATTATTTCTGCTACTCCTAGGACCTCCTCTCATACTAAGCCACAATTCTCGAATCAAATGCAGAGCAAAACTTTTTAGATAAAGATAAGCCTAGGACTCGGCAGAGGAGAGACTAAGAACCTACAGAAACTTGAGGTCTTCCAGACTGGCCAACCTGTATTCCCAGCTATGTCTCACCTCCTGCTCCTCTCTCCGCTTGGCCTCCAACCGCCTCCGCTGCTCCTCTTGAGCCTGCCGTGCCAGCATTTCTTCATGAAAAGACTTGGGAGGGGGCTTATTATGCTCGCTGAGAAATAACTGCACGTGGTACGCCAGTTCAAATATCACCACCTAAACATGCAGACCAAAATCAACCACAATTGATCAAACAATGAGAAGCCATGACCCAAAGAAGAGAGGCCACAGAAAAACAAGCCTGCAGTCCGAAACCCACTTACTACGTGGTAATAATCATTCAGCACATGACACGTTCTCAGTTAGGTCTATGATGCAATCACAGTAGGAAAAACTTTTAAAGGGCTCATCTCATTGTGCTGCTAGCAAGACAAGTCACCACCTAGGAAATGAAACGCTCCGTTTCTTTTGTAGGCTTATTGAATTCATTGGTATTTTCTGTATCATGTATAGGCAAAAAAATTTCCTGTACAAATAAATCTGATGAAAAATTTATGACTGTGTGAAAGCAAGAACTACTTTCCCAACTAGACTATCTGTCCACATAATGACCGCTGTGCAGAGCAGTCAATGCTAACATCAGAGCTTTCATCTGTCCACACAGTAGATTGAAAATATTTTGTTGGGGTACCCAGGCAAATACTCAAAGGCCTTACTATTGCCTGGCTAGTAATGAGCCAGTAGGAAGCTGATCAATACTTCAAAAGCATTTTATTTCCACTTAGGGAAGCCTTCATAAATATTGCCAGGAAAAAAATGCCCCCCCCCCATCAGACATTCTTTATGTGAATCTAGAAACCCACTTTCCTCTAACCCCATGGCTACAAATTATACATGGGTGGGTAAAGCAACAATACAGCAGTTTCTAAGATCCCATATAGACTAATAGACCCACCCCCAGAAAAGTAAAGAGTGCCAAGTTCTTTATGCAGATAAGGAGTGCCACACTGAGGTTCCTTGCTGTCAGTTATAGTGAAGCAATTTAAACATTCTTACTCCTATTGTATGTTTAAAACCATTTCTAAAGGGACTTAGCCGGGTGATAACTATAAAAGTCACAGTACAATGTGCCCAGTAAAGGAGGCTTCCTGCGGAGCCTCTGCATTACATAAGACTATAGGTGGAATCCTGAACAGCATCCAGAATCTTCAGA